CAGAGTGCCATCAAGGGCCTTTGGTGGACACCCTGCCAGCCGACCCTGGCCCCCAAGGACTCAGTACCCTCCACACTGCAGCCGCTGGGGCCAACAGCCATGAAGAGTGGGTCTGGGGGTGATGGAGGTTATGCAGCAGTGTTTTTAATTTACAGGTTCCTGGAATGTCTGCACTTTGCAATACCTGCTCAATAAAATACTGAGGATGGGGCCACGTACTGGGATTTCTGTGCTCCACGCCGATAGTGTGTTGTTCACCCACAGAGGTTTACTCTTGTTTGAAAGTTCCAGACAGGACTGACAGTGAAAGGAGGGGCGCCAGATATTAACTGGCACCAGTTTGTGCCAGTTATGAATTTTGGGGAGCTCAGTGGAGTTCTAGAAGTCACGTGAGGGTAGCAGTGACATCCTGGGGTGTCCAGCTCAGTGGCTGTGAACCAACTGGCATAGAAATATTTCAGTACTTTTTAATCTGGGCAGTGGTTCTCAACCAGGGACAATTTTGCCCGCAGTCCACAGGCGACATTTGACATTGTCTGGAGACATTTTGGTTGTTGCAGTAGGGCATGGGGATGCTGCTGGCATCTAGTGGGTGGAGGCTGGGATGCCGCTCTGTGTTCTGCAATGCACAGAGCAGCCCACCCACAACAAAGAATTATCCAGCCCCAATGTCACTAGTGCCAAGGTGGAACAAAATAAGAGGCCCCGCCCTGTAACGAAGCCACCTCTCCATGCTATCACTGCTTCCTTGCAATTAATTAGAATCATCAGAGCTGGAACAAAATCCCTCTGACCCTGGGAGGAAACCTCTTTTCCTTACGGGGCTTCTAAGCCCCCAGCATGCCTCAGGTCCGCAGGCCTGGGCTGCCCTTCGCGGCAGCCATGTGTGGCTGCCAAGGCCAAAGGGCAACTCTAACGAGACAGGGCCTCGCTGAAGCTTCTGCAGCCGTAGAAGCATGGTGATTCGGCCAAGTGTTGGGTAATAGTGCCCTTGAGAACATTTTTCTCTCTAGTTGATTGAATGTGATGGGTCCTTGTTATGACAGTTGCCCCCCAAGCAACTAAGACAAATCGGGATGGAAAGAAGCATTTCTAGGATCTGCCAGCTGGACCCAGCCACTTTCCTGCGTGGGCCCTGATTCCATCTGCCATGTTCATACTTGCAGACGGGCTTCCCAGGGAAACCGAGTGTCTCACTGCAAAGAAGAGTGATATCATGTCTCCTTTAGGCGTGTCTTGCTGTCTTGATCGTACCAATGTGTGGGGAACAAGCTAGGTTTATTTCAATCAGTTCTATACATCTTACTATATGTTTTCGAATTTCGCATGGTGTACAAAGTGAAGCATGCAGAGGGCTGGTTTTACTGCAGCTGTGCAATGCAGAGGGAGCGTGAGGATTATTATGGACTGAGTGACCCCCACTCCCAAATTCCTGTGTTGAAGCCGTAATCCCCAAGGTCACTGTGTTTGGAGATAGGGCCTTTAAAGAGATAATAAGGGTAAAGGAGGATGTAAGGGCAGGCCCCTAATCCAATAGGACTGGTGTCCTTACATGAAGAGGAAGAGACAGCAGGGGTGTGTGCACACCGAGAAATGGCCACATGAGGACACTGTGAGAAGGCACCTTGATCTGGGACTTCCAGCCTCCAGAACTGTGAGGAAGTAAGTGTCTATGGTTTAAACTACCCAGCCTGGGGTACTTTGTTATGGCAGTCCAGCAGACTGACACAAGGATGCAGACTCTGCCTGGTAGGGTTAGTGGAACAGCATCTTGTTTTTATGGGGCATCTTCAATTTTACTGCATTTTGATAAGTTTTATTATAGAAATATACTTAAAGTAATGCATGGGCATGGTTAAAGTCAAGTGGGCCTAAGAGCTTGAGTGAACACCAGTAATTCCTGGCTCTGTCCCTTTTCATTAGCTCTCTTCTCCCTTCAGGCAACCACTTTTTTCTCCTTAAGTTTTTTTTTTTAATAGCCTGTAATTTTTTAGAGCAGTTTTAGGTTTATAGAAGAATTGAGCAAAACGTACAAAGAGTTCCCATATATCCCCTCCTCCCCTACAGTCCCTCTGTCACTGCCATCTTAGTGTGTCATACTTATTGCAATTGATGAACTGATATTGATACATGATTATAAGCTAAAGTCCACAGTTTACATTAGAATACACTCTTGCTGTTGTATATTTCTGTGGACTTGGACCAATGCATAGTGTCAGGTGTCCACCATTACAGTATCACACAGAGTAGTTCCACTGCCCTAAAAATCCCCTATGCTCTGCCTATTCATCCCTCCCTTTTTCCCCACCAACCCCTGGCAACCACTAATTGTTTTACTCTTTCCATGGTTTTACCTTTTCCAGAATCTCACATATATGTAGTTGGAATGATTCAGTACTGGCTTTTTTCACTTAGCAATACACATTTAAGGTTCCTCCATGTCTTTTTGTGACTTGCTAGCTCATTTGTTTTAATCACTGAAGAATATTCCATTGTCTGGATGTTCCATGGTTTATTTGTCCATTTACCTATTGAAGGGCGTGTTGATTGTTTATAAGTTTTGGCAGTTGTGAATGAGGTGTACATCTTCTAAGAATAAGGACATTCTTTTACGTAACCACCAGCCCCTAATTACATAAAATTAACAATAACCCAATATGTCATTCAGTATCCAGTTTCTATTCAAATTTCAACCCAGAATTCCAGCAAGATTCATGAATTGTGTTGAGTTGATTTGCCTCTTTGATCTTTTGTGTAGGCCGGTTCTCTGCCTTTTTTGGTTTATTTTTTATGACATAGATTTTTTTTGAAGAGTCCAGACCAGTAGTCTTGCATTTGTGATCTGTTCAGTTGCTCCCTCATGATTCTATTAATATCTCGTTTAAGTAATTTTTGGCAGCATTCCAACATAGGAGATACTACAGCATCAGCTTTTCTGACTCTGTTGATGGTAAGCCCCATCACCTGGATGCGATGGTGCTAGCCAGATCCCTCCATCATAAAGGGACATTTTTCTCTTTGTGCATAATCTGTATAGCAGTACTTTGAGACTACGAATTTTCTGTATTCCAGCAGCTGTTTACTCAATAGTTGGGGTATCCATTGATAATTATTGGTTAAACTAATTATTACATTGGAGGTTGCAAAACGTTGATTGTCTAATTCTATCTTTCTTTCCATGTTTATTATTTCCTTCCCATTTAAAAAATTTTCACTATAGGCCAGGCACAGTGGCTCCTATCTGTAATCCCAGCAGCTTGGGAGGCCGAGGCTAGAGGATCACATGCAGCCAGGAATTCAAGACCAGCCTGAGCAACAGAGTGAGACCCTGTCATGACCAAAAAAAAAAAAAAACAGGGAAGGCCTATAGTCCCAGCTACTTGGGAGGCTGAGATAGGAGGATCACTTGAGCCCAGGAGTTTAAGGTTACGGTGTAGCTATCCTCAGGCCACTGCATTCCAGCCTGGGCAACAGAGTGAGACCCTATCTCTTAAAAAAAATAATCACTGTAGAGTCAGGACATTTTCTTTTAATGTTTTTCTGATCTGTATCATCATTAATCTTTTTGTTTTGCCTGCTTTTAAAGACCCCTTTTGCTATTTTCCTCCCTCCTGAACATGTTCCTGTGAGGTGGAGGGGAAGGGGCAGCATAAGAAATAAATAACTTTCCAAGATTGTTTAAGGTCTAGTGTGGTCAGAGACAAAACTGTCAGAATTCTGTCCTGTTTCACTAATCAGCATCCATTTCACCAGGTGTAACTGATTTGAATACCGCTTTGAATATTTACATCCCCTATTAGTAGTCACTACCTGTTAGAGCTAAATTCGACTAATTTGGCTTTGCTTAAATGACAGTGTATTACAATTATGTTTTCTAATTTTTTTGTATATCCTTTTACATAAACACAGAGTGGAAACCGTCACTTTAATAGCTATACAGTATTCCAAAGTGACACTGCCGTTGTTTGGGTCCCCATTCCCCTTTTCCTGGATATGGGGACAATACAGTGAACAGTATTTTGCAAACTTTCTTGGCAGTGGAACTTCATTTTTTCCAAAGAAGTTGTGCACATCCCCTTCTTTTAAACCTTTCACTTTACCCAAGGGGCATGATTTGTTGCCCTAAAGGTGGTCGTTTAATAAAACAATGAAGAGTTGCTGTGAAAGGTTGTATAAATGTGCACTCCAGGGGGCACTATTTACATTGCAGTGTTGTGAACAGTGTTCCCTGGAGTTGTGTGACGTACAGTCTAGGTGGCCTTATACAAGGGACCCTGGTAAGTGTCATTGTTTTTTATAAGTTGAAAGCAATGGAATTTTGGAAGAGGAAGCAATTTTACATATAGGGTCTGAGATGAATGTCAAAATTTATCCTTCCAGTAAAGATAGAATGAAAAATAGCACCAATTTTTATCCTTATACTTAAATTTTTTTATACGTAAAATACCTTATACTTGGAATTTCTGTGGTGTGGTCAATTTTTGACAGTGGCTTTCATAAACACTTTTAAAATTAATTATAGTCTTGAAATTTAAGAGACTATATTAGTCATTGTAGGTTTACTGCTGTAGTAAACAAGCTTGCAATCTCAGTGGCCTAACGCAGTAAAGGTTTATTTTTCTCACAGGTCACATCCAATGTGAGTTGCAGCAGGCTTGGGCTCTGGACCACACAGTCATTCAGGGGACCCAGGTCCTTGAATCTGGTGGCTCCTGAGTCAATCCTCTGTGACCTCAGAGTCCTTTACTGGCTCCTCTGGCCCTGGCTGCCAGATGAGAGAGAGTGTGGGAAAATACGCGGGAGACCTGGGAGCGGCATCTGTCACCTCCACCCCCAGGCCATTGGCCAGAACTGACACCATTGGCTCTGCCCAACCCCAAGGGAAGCTAGGAAACATTGTCTGTCCCTGTGCTCAGCTGGGAAAGGCACGAGGGCTTAGGGACAGGGATGAAGCCATATTGCAGTGTTGACCTCTTTTCCCTATTTTGTTTCTTCTCTAGGAGACTTCTTGGCATCATCACGAAAAAGGATGTTCTAAGACATATGGCCCAGATGGCAAACCAGGACCCTGAATCCATCATGTTTAATTAACAACAAGGTGGCAATTATTTTGAGGAAAACACTGACTATGTCATTTTAAAAGAAATAAACAAATGATGCATCATTATCCCAATGAAAAATCATGCGCTGAGGGCAGCAGAAACAAAAGTTTTGTTTGAAAGGAGGGGAAGAAGGATGAAATCTTTTTTACAAAAACAGAAACATCCATGAATAGGCATTTTATAGCTTTAACCCCATATGAGTTTCAAACTGTGTTTCCTGATGTGTTCCTGACTGCTGGGGGGCCCGTGGGTGGGTGTAGGTGCTGTGGTCTATACAAGGACGCGGAACACGAATGCCCAGCGGGGAAACTTTTACCCTTTCTGCTCAAGGCTGATGTTTGTAACTTACGAACACACGTGAAGCTTTGAGTCCAAAAGGCAAAGGGGTATCAGCATGTCGGTGTCCTTATTTATTGGTTCCTAAAGTTTTGCTGCTACGTTACTGAGTCATAAGAAACACATTTACACTTGCTTTGTTGGAAAAGAAAAAGAAATTAAATTTGAACACGGTGAAAGCTGTAAATATGCCAGTGGGTCTGCTCACGACCATCCCGTTTCTTGCTCCTGTTCTTAGCCCCTTATTTGGCTTCTCCGTCAGTGTCTGAACCAACATCAGGGGCACCCGGCATGATGGGTGTGAAGAAATCATTTCTCTATGTGAGACCAGCGTCTTGGGACTGCACAATGAACTACTGGAGCGTGTAGTGCTGCCCTGTCTCCTTCTGTACAAAGGAACGCGTCCTTATTTTGAGGGTGTACACACCCCATCATTGCTTTGCATTCCCATTGCATTTGCTTCATTTATTTATTGCTGTGCTTATGCATTCTTAAGTACTGATCAGCTCAGCACTTCCATGGGCCGCAGCCTGTGTGCCCCCAGCCTGCCGTAAGCGTGCTTTAATTTCCAAGTAGCATATGCAAGAGTCAAAACAGGCTGCCAGTGTTACTACTTATTTTTCCTCTCAGGTCTTATCAGATACGGCTGTGGAGAGGGTGAGGCATACGAGTTCTCAGTGGGAACTCCTCCAAGTGGATTGCAAGAGAAATACTAAATCGATTCTCTATCTGTTCCATTTTCTTCTCTATAGGATGCAAAATGTCCAGTTTTAATGTATGAGCATGCACTTTCCTACTAGCAATCACAGCACAGGAGGACAGCATTAACTTTTATACAGCCAATTTGAGCATTGGGCATCTTTGTATTTGAACTTAATGACACGTGTTCTTTTAGTCAAGAGCTCTGTCTTTTCTGCAGGAAGGAGTTAAGCTATGGCTTAGGTCCACTGTGTGATCTGTGTAAATAGGATTGATCCCACTTGCCCTTTCACTTTTGTCTTTGTCCCTTCCTTTTCACAGAATCATCCTCATCCTTTCCGATCTCAGTGTCACTGGTTAGTGGTATATCGGTTAGGTGTGCATTTGCCTGCAAGTAGCAGAAAATCCAACAGAGAGTGAAGGGCTGAATAAGTGTGGGAGGTGGGCACTCCAGGACTGTTCCTATAATGTCACCAGGGATCCACACTCCTTTGGTATTTCTTTTTCACCATCCTTACCCTTTGTCCTTCGGCTTATTGCCTCGTAGTCGCCAGATATTTGCTGAACTGCTGGGTGTCATGTCTGCTTTCTAAGTGGGGGGAAGGAAGAGGTAAGTCACAAGATGTAGTGTCTCCATCAGGAAAGCAAAGCTTTCCCACAGGCGCTCAGCTCATGTCCATTGGCTAGAAATCTGTCACGTGGCTCCTCCTGGCCGCACAGTAGTGTGGGAAGGAAAATTTTAGCTAGGCACATTACTCTCTGAACAAAGTTCAAGTACTCTTAAAAGGAAGGGGGGGTTGGTCCTTTGGAGGGGAAGATGTCTGCCGTACTGGAGGCCATCATTGTGTCCTTGTCATCACCCTTCCTATCTACTGTCTTGCTAAACCCTTGCAAATGCTCTTCTAACCTGCCCGCTTCCCACCCCTTCTCTCAGATTTGACCTAAAATTCCTTATCAGAATCCATAATTTCTTAGCCCTAATAAGGATTTTCAATTTTGATAAAAACCTAGCTCCAAGTGGGTTTCTATGAAACTTCTAGTTAATGTGCAAAAATATATTTTCCCTGAGTTAAAAAATTTTAAGTCAGATCATGCTGACACACTATGGAAAATTGGTTTCTGTAATTCATTGGCCTCCTTCAAAGTGACATAAAATAGCCATGCCAGCATGGAAATACCCAGGCAATCATAGAGAATTTAATCTTTGGTCCTATAATAGAATGAAATTCATTGTCTCATTTACAGCACATACGCATTGAATAACAGCTGCTAATGTTAGTGTTGTTATTGGGGTTACCACGGAACATTTGCAAGTGAAACTGGATTCTCCTGGACTTTAAATCCTAAAAAGTCTTAAAGATTGCTCCGTGTAGTCCTCCTCTTATTCCCGTGTGGTCCCTTCGGAGCCGCCTGTAATGAGAAAGAAAGTATTAGTCATAGCCTGGCTTTATCGAGGCCAGGAGGTCCTTTTAGCTGAAGCTAGTAGCCTCAAAAGGGAACACGAAACAGTGAAAAGATAGCCAAAGGTCAGTGAAACCACAGAATTTCCTTCTAATCCTGCTGAAGCCATGGAGGGGACAAGGGGATAGTTTATTCTGGGCCAAGGTCACCGAGGGGGAACTTGGCATTTGTGTCCTCCCCAGTGCTTAGTGCAGAGATGTCCATGAATTCGTGAGAAGCAATTGGAAGAGTTACTTAACTGAAATAACCCAGGCTTACTTATCTTTGCAAGTTGAGCCTCTAGCTTGTTGTGGGGTTTAGACTCTCCTCGACAAAAGGCCAGGGTCAGGCGGGCAGATGAAGGTCAAGGGCGGGGAGTCGGCAGTGGAGACTACTGCAGTGAATCGCCTTCCTCACATGGGGCCCTGACCCAGCCATGTGGTCCATCACCCCGCGGCCTGCGGTCTCTTTCAAACTCCATGGGGAACATGCTGCCTTGCTCTTTGTCACTCTTTCTTGTACAAGGGTAGGGGTTCTGAGGGCATTTGCTGTATCCAAATGCAGAACTTCAGTCCACTTTACCTGGTAATGTGATGAACAGAACTGGGGCATGAAGGGAAAATAAACATCTTTCATAATAATTGTTTTCTTTTCCAGAACCAAAGGCTTTAGACATTTGTTGAACTTTTCTGGATTCTTTCTGAGCCAGTCTTTAATGTATAAAACCATCAGTACGTTGTGGAGAGGAGCTCTCCACTGGGGCCCATTGCCTGTTTCTTGCTCTCCCTCGCTATTAACTAAGGAAATGTGTTGTAGTAGGACACCAAATAAACGGGATCCTGGAAGTGACATGTGCATTTCTTCGAAGTGTTTTTCAGCACATCCTCTGGGAATACGGGTGCTTGCGTGGCTTTTAGGGAAAAGTAAATGTGCTAGAAGTCAGCCATTCGGTATTCAGTGCTCGCTGTTACTTGGAACCAGGCAGTCTCAAAGTTCTCTATTCAGTCCTTTCCAAAGGCCTTACACAGGAGAAGACGTGTAAATAGATAGATTTTGAGCCCTAATAAGTCACAGAAACTGAAAATTTTAGGGCAGTTTGTTTCATTTAGGTGAGAGCTGATTACTTTAAATTATCAACATGTGCAAATTCTGCTTAGTATTCATTATCAGATGCTGAGCTGGAGAAGATGAGAAACCCAAGGAGAACGATTGAATTACACGTAATTGTAATATTACACTTTCATTTTAATTTCGCATGGGCAGTGTTTTATCAGGCTGAGCTTCTAGCCTTTGAAATGATTTACACGAGGAGGGAGCCTGTATATCTGACTTGGGAAACATTAACCAGACCCCATTTTCACCAGCACAGTAATAACTATTTATTTGCCATCCTAGAGGTGCTGGGAATGAGCCTGCGTGCGACTTTTATGAGATATATTCGCATTTGGTGTTGGAACGACCACATAGCAATGTGTTGGGTTTTTTATTGTAACGTTCTGTGTAAACGTTGGCACCTTATTAAAAATTAAATGTTTGAACTCTATTTTTAAAAATAAAACAAGCACAGAGTCCTCAACAGGCATATTGTAAATGGAAGAGATGCTGATTTCACAGCATGTTTTACCCAATAGAACCTCCGGAAACCTGATCCTGGGGACTTGGCCAAAATATCCAGCAAAGTTAAAGACCCATCCTTAAGATTGTCACGCAGACTGTGACATCAATTTGGTCGGCTTTAAAATCCCTCACACTTGGCTGGGTAGGCGACTGGGGCTATCAGTTTCCAAGGCTGGGATAGGACCTCTGTCCCCAGGCCATCTGTGTATCTGCCCTGCGTGTGGAAGCTGGGAGTACAGCTTGGGCAGTGGGCTAACATTCATTCATTCTTTCATCCTGTCTTTCAACAGAAATTTTTCTATCTATTACTTTGGGAGCCATAAGGGTTAGAATGATGTCCTTCACAACTAGGTTTTTTTTTTTTTTAATTTGAAAGTTTTCTGCTTTGTGCTATTTAATATGGGTGGTAAGAGGAGTCCCTGCTGATTAGGGGAGGGAACTAGTTAAGGGCATGACTCGGGCAAGGACATCTTCGGCAGAGGGGACAGCAAGTGCAAATGTCCTGAGGTAGAAATGGGTTTAGCCTGCTGGGGGCCTGCCTGCCAGGGGTGAATGGCTGTAGTCTCAGGGTGGGGGTGAGGGTGTTTACAGTTGGTTTTGTTTTCCCTTTGGTGGGAAGGTAGACAGCAAGCAGATGCTTAAGGGTCTTGAAGGGCCACATAAAGACCTAGAATTCAGAGGAGTGATGTGATTTGACTTTTGTGGTCTACAAACCATCTGGCTGTTGGATTGCAAGACTGGCAGCTGGGAGTCTGGCTAAGAGGCTATTGCAAATCGGTGAGTGATGGTGGGGGCTTGCCCTAGAAAAGTTCTTGAATTCCAGGTATACAGTGGTCCCTCAGTGTCTGGGAGATCGATTCCAGGACCTCTTACAGATACCAAAATCCACAGGTGCACAGGTTCGTTATATAAAATGACATAGTATTTGCACATAACCTATGCACACCCTCCCATATACTTTAAATCATGTCTAGATTACTTATAATGCCTAATACAATGTAAGTGTTATGTAAATAATTGCTATACTGTATTGTTAGGGAATAATGACAAGAAAAAAAGTCTGTACATGTTCAGTACAGATGCCACCATCCATTTTTTTTATGAATATTTTTGATCCAAGGTTGGTTGAGTTCATGGATGCAGAACTCATGGATATGGAGGGCTGCATTCCAAGGCAGAGCCAACAGATTCTCCAGTGGACTGGATATAAAATGGTACAACCAAGCTGCCATTTACTGAGATGAAATAGACTAGGCAGCGGGCTTCGTTCTGGAAATGCTACTGAGCGATGTCTGTTGGACATTCAGATTCAGAGTTCAGGGGAATCATTGTGGTATGAGAAATAAATCAAGCCATTGGCATTGAATTTAAATGTCAATGGCTTTTAGAGTGGAATTAAAGTGGAATTTAAAGCCATGCCTGGAAACGTCCATGGTCTAATGATATCCTAAGAGCAAATAGAACTGACTTCTAACAGAATTTCAATATTGAATCCTCAAGGAGTCACACCAAAGGCCAATAGGACTGCACTTGAATTCGAGCTCCGTGGAGTCCTGGCTGTGTTACATTGTCCTATGGATTGAACCTCTCTGAGCCCGGGTTTCCACATCTCTGTAGAGTGAGTTACTGCTCTTGACCCAGCAGCATGGCCGTCAGAATTAAATGAGCTAATCCCTGCAAAGTGCTTGGCATGGAATATAACCATGCAGATGGTAGTAGATATCATCTTCCTCATTATAAAGCCTTAAAGTAGCTGTAATTGGAAATTAATTATTAAATAATTTTGTTAAACACTTAATGAAAAGACATATAACACTTTAGTTTAATTATAAGGCCCCTTAAAGTAAACACAGATTGGATAGGCCAATTGCTTTTCTTTCCAAAAAAACAAGACAAATAAACAAAAATTCAGATCTCTTAAGAGATGTCAAACAACTTCTTGCTGACTCCAAATTGATGGGAAATTATAGAAAAGCAACTTGGTAGAAAATTCTATTTCTCTGTAGTTTGATACTGGCTTGGAGAGCAGGAAAGCATAAATATGCATGGATACTGAACTATTTATTGATTAGCTTGAAATTGGGAGCAAGAATTCATGTAACACAAGAGTGTGTGTAACTTGCTTATTTTCAGACATTGTAAAACCCAATATGTACTACACTTCCAGAGAAAAATCTCTCCAGCATGGTGTTCACGTAGAAATGTCTGTTAGTAAAACTTATGAATGAACAGCCTTTGTGGGCCTTGGATATTTCCCTTCGACATGATGTAGTTAAAAGCCAGAGAGGGAGAATGAACAAATAGGATTTGTCTGAAAGGTGACAACCCATCAGTTTTAATTCTGAGGGCTTAGCTAGAGCTAACCAGGATGGCCTTGCAGATAAACGTCTGGGTCATGCCTTGGCTTCCTAGGCTTTCATGGGTTGAGACAAGACCAGAAACTTCCATCTCCACCCGGGACAGCAAACTCCGGCTGAGTGTGGGGTGCCTGGCGTGCCCGTTGTTACAGCTCTTCCCCAGTTCATTGGCAGTCAATTGGCCAGAAAGAAGCTACCATATGTGAAGGCAGATAGGGAGCATCTATTTCTGGCAGTTCCTCAACATTGCATTTCATTAAAGAAATGTTTTTTTCTTCTCGAATGAACAATAAGCAAAGAGCACCTTGTGGGGATTTCCAAACCCCTTTAGTCAGGGTTTGGCTCACAGAACGAAGAGAGCAATTTATGTGTGATTCCAGCATTTGTTATGGAACACATATTTCAAAGATTAAACAGCCGTCCTCAGTCCAAACAGATTCTGTCAGAGAAATTGAAAACACATCCATAAATTCTCGTCCTGCAGCCTCCTAACAGGTTGGGTGCAGAGGACGCTTTCTGGTAATAGAACATTCCTTCCTTCTCCAGGGCACCATGTTCATTTCGCACATTCACACTCACTCTCTCAGGACTTCCACCTGTTTCCAGCCAATATGAGCTTAGGCAGAAATTGGAGCTAGCCACCTTTTGATGAACAGTTTTCCTTTTCAGGTATTTCTCAAACTTTAGCCTGGCCCCCAGAAAGACATTTCTAGGAATGGCTGTGGGGTGGTTTACATGATCAGCAAGGAACTTTCTCCAGGGAGTTGCCCAGCAGAGATGCTCCATGGGGCAAGACTCTCAACCGGTTATCAAAGAGCTGGGGAGAAAGAGCAGGGCTGCCTGCAGTGGACATGCATTTCCCAAAGTGCCAGGCACAGTGTTTCTGTAGGATGCTGCTAGGTGCCAGAGAAAAGTGGATTCTGTGGTTACCTAAATTGGTGGCCAGAGTCGGAGGGTCTAGGAAGTCTCCTTTTTAGTTTCTTTTCAGAATCTCTAGCTGAGTGACATACGAGAACTGACCACTTCAATGGACTGCAACCACATCATCTGTAAAGCAGGGACCTTTCCTTAGGCTTGATAATCAGTGTGATGGGGGCCAGTGCCAGTCAGCAAGGCAGAATCTCAAGTCCCACCCAGGTCTGCTGAGTCAGAATCTGCATTTTACCAGCCCCAGGCGATTCGTGTGCAAAGTTGGAGAAGCACTGTCTTTGGTGACAAAGGTCTGAATCAGATGATCTCCTCAGTTTACTTCCAGTTCTAAGATCCAGTGTTCTCCAAGATTCTCTCACTTCCAAAGGAAGAGGGACTGGCTGCAGTGATCAGGCCGCTGAAGGAGAAACAAGGAGGAGAGAGACTTGGCCTTTGGGCCGGATTTCCCAGCTCCCAAACTCTCCCAGTCTCAGCTGGCCTGCTGCAGCATTCTTAGCTCAGGGATTCTCAACCTCGGTGCTAAAGACATTCCGGGCCAGGCGACTCTTTGCGGTGGGGATTGTCCTGTACTCTGTAGCATGTTGAGCAGCACCCCTGGCCTCTGCCCACTAGATGCCAGTAGCAACCCCTCTCCAAGTTGTGACAACCAAAAGTGTCTCTAGACGTCGCCAAGTATGCAACCTCCCCCCTCCCCCCGTTACGCTCTAATTCTGCAGAAGGGAGCGCTGTGATTTACAAAGCATGGGGAAAGGGACCGACCACCCTCTCGTGGTGTTCTGGTGGGGTTTTCATAAAGCTGGTGAAAATCACTTGTGTGAAGCAAAGACCGACAGAGACTCCCCACTTGCCTTGGTGGGTGAGTCGGGGGTGAGTCGGGGGTGGCCGGGGAAGAGTTCCCTTGGCCTTTAAGCAGGAGGGGAGGGGTGCACTTGCTTCTTTCTGAGAACCCAGTGGTGAGCCCAGGAAGAGTGCAGTCATCTTTTCTTCGCTTAAGTCTCACTCCAACTGGCGATTTTAAAGCGAATAACTTCACCCTATGCTGTCTTTGTGATCGCCCCGTCTTCCTCCGTAGTTGCCCTCCCCCCACTCTGACCATGCACGCTAGCACATTGGTAGAAATCATTCTATGCTTGTTACATCTCATTGGAAAGATTCCCAGCTGCTTTCTTGAGTTGACTTTGAACATTATTGTGTCTTTATTGGAAGCTTAGAGGAGTGCTCGGCAAACTACAGCACATGGCCAAATGCAGCCTGCCACCTGTTTTTGTTGATAAAGTTTGTTGGCACATGGCCAGGCCCACCATTTACTTATTGTCTGTGGCTGCTTTTGCACAACAATGGCAGAGTTAAATAATTGCAACAGAGACTTGTGGCCTGAAAAGCCTAAAGTATGTGCTATCCGGTCCTTTACAGAAAACGTTAGCTGGCTTCTGGCTTAGAGTAAATTGGGGTCACCAAACCATTGGATAGTCACCAAGAGTAATTTAACTTTCTTACACCCGGTGGAAAACATGAAGGAATGCTTTAAAAACAGCAGCAAGGAGAGACGTATGTGTTGGTTAAATAAGATGGTTTTGTTAAAATGCTTTTCTCTCCAACTTTCTCCAGGAGCTTAACTTGTGCCAGAAATATCTGTCCTGACTTAGATATTAGCAGAGGTGTTAATAGGCTCTG